TGGCAATTATAGGACGTATAAAATAGTTACAACTAAGTTATGATGACTTAGCTTAACTTGAGTTACACCAGCTTACAACTAAAACATAACTAAGTTATAACTTCTAGAACTAAAAACCATCTTTAAAAAAACATACCAAACCAAAACACAAAAGACACATGTTTTTTTTGAATTGTTGAAGATCAATAACACCATAGCGGACAACTGCCTCCAAAAGCATGGTTTGCATGATTTCAGCAAATTTTGCAAATGTGCTGCACTTTTTGTGTTACTCACAAAAGACACACAGCACGCGTTTGGCATCATTGTGCCACCAAGTTGGGGAACATATGTCTTTCATTTCCTTGACCACAATGGCCTGGTTTCGACTTGCTGGATCAAACGTTCCGGTGAAAGGCACTTTCGAACAACTTTCTGTCAAAGGCACTTTCGTGCAAGCTCAACACCACCACGGAGTACCCCAAGTGCAGCAAGCTCAACATGGTTACCATGCCAGGTCGTGAAGCAGGAGGCAAAGCAGCTGCGAGACCAAAGGCAACGGATAGCCGATCGTTTGGGAATAACGAGGCGTGCGTATGAACGCCAATACTTGCACTGGCACAACAGGTAAAGCCAGAGTGACCTTAGTTACCTTCCCTTGAGTGACCAGGGCTTGCTGCAGAAAGAAAAGGTTGCACTTCCCACGCAGTGCATGTTGTCTTTGCAGAGGTCTCGAAAAGTAATGCTGTTATGTTTGAGCTGTTGTTGAGGGTTCTTTTGTGCAAACAAAAGCGGTCGTCCGCTCCCCTTCCCATTCCCGTTTGGTTGAAACGCCGGCGGTTGTCCGCTACGACGCTATGAATAAACCTTTTCCAAAGAAGAGCCTGTTGTATGCACTTTTTGGTTCCTGAGCCCGCTCAACAAAGTCGTACAAGTGCCAGGTCAAGACAAAAGCGGCCGTCCGCTTCCCAACCCTTTTTCAGGTTTTGTTGAAGCCAAAGCAGCAGGCGGTTGTCCGCTAGACGGCGCTATGAAGAAACGTTTTCAGAACAGATGTGGTTTGCACCTTTTGGTTCTTGAGCCCTCTCAACAAAGTAGCTCAAGTGTCAAGTCTAGCCATAGGTACTTCGGGCGTTTCCATGTTGACTGGAGTTGTGTACTGGAAGAGCAAGTAGCAGTCATGGTGGACTGGGAGTGGCTACCTCCGAAACAAGAAGCGTTTGATTTTGGGAGGTTCTAAGCTCTACATGCCCACAAATTCGTTCCGTGGAGCCTACACAACGTTCCATCTGGTGGACAACGACCTGTGGCAGGATCACCTTGCTGTTCAGCAGACAAGGATTTGGCTAACGTGAAGTATATGAAGAGCATGCCATTCTTTGATCTTTGTTGCGCGCTGATGGAGCAGCTGGACACCTTCTTCAAAAAGGCAACTTTCCTGCGATTTGTCATTGGCACCACTTCTCCTACCGAAAAGGGGTGGTCAACACCATGTGGTCACCTGTTTCGAGGGCTGGAAACAGCAGAGGTGAAGTGTGAACTCAACCAGGTCATGGCGCGCGTGTGAGCCCAACTGGGCAGGAGAGTTCATCCAAGAAGAAGTCAGCTACAGAGACTTCCAAAAACATGAAGCCTGAGTCCAAAACCAAGAGAGTTGTGAAGAGGCCATCCAAGAAGTGAGAGCGGAGATGCGCGTTTTCGAGCAAAGCCGCAAGGCAGCATTTGGAGCAACAGGAAGAAACGACAGAGCTTCTAGAAAAAAGGTGCTTTGTTCAACTGTTTTGTGAACCTTTGACTCATGACTCTTGCACTCTTACTTTACGGTCGTCCGTCTGTGTTCATCGTTCTTGTTTCAATCATGATGGTGGTCCATCCTGAAACTGAAAGGTCACACACGAACGCAAAAGATATACTATTCTTTGAACGCTGTTTGTTGATTACACAATACTGGAACATATTTCATTGGTGAAGGTAAATGTTTTCAGAATGTGTCTGCCTAAAATGTATCTACGTGTGGCCGGGTGAATCCGGATGTATCCGGGTATGTATCCGCATGTGTCCGGTGTATCCGGATGCATCCGGGCATGTATCCGGGGATGTGTCCGGATGTATCCCCACGTATCCGGATGCATCCCCATGTATCCGAATGTATCCTTGTGTCTATGTGTTTCTTTCCTTATTCATACGCATTTTTGGGTTGAACGAGAGCAATTCTTGTGAGCTGGACTGCCAGCAATGACAGCGGACAACCGCTATACTGTTAGCTACTACACGCTGCTACTACTGAACGTTGCTGAAAAAAAGGTGGACGACCACCAAAGAACGAGAACCAACCCCCTGTTGTTACACACGGACCATAGATTCAAATGCTTTTGCGCCCCCCTCGTGATGATACACACCGATGAAACATATTGCCACTGTTTAGGACGGCAACAAACCCCGAGCCAGCCAGCGCGAAGGCGTGCGCAAAGGTGCCTCCCGGCATTTGCCTTTGCTGCAGCCGAACTTGAATTTTCTCTTCAAGTTTGCTGGACGGCTCGGCCTTGCTGCTCCACTTTTTCGCGCTGAAGCTCGCCCTGGACGCTATTGGCCTGGCAGCTTTGGACTTCGTGCACTTCGACCTTGATTGATCTTTAGACTTCATCGCGGCCACTGTTTCCACTACAACTCTTTGCAGCTCCTTCCCCAGCATCACGAAGCCGGTCAAGTGATGCCTCCAAAAAAAATTGGGCTGCGCATTCGAGCCGTCGTTCTCATCCCTCGAAGGGTTCTGCGTTGAAGCATTGCCACCAATCTCATCACCAGCCTGGCATCCTTCACCCTGACCAGCGGGCGCAGCCTGAGCTGATCCTGCCTGCGCAGGCACCGCCATTCGACTAGAGAGGGATGAAGCCATTCACTGCCCAACCTCGTTGACTGGGGCCGTCTTTGCTGTAGCAGTGGCTGCAGGCTCAGGATGCTCTCCATGAACAGATCCGTCCTGCAAAAAAGGCCAACACACGATGGCCTTGAGAGTGGGCTCCTTGAGATTCCGAATCTGGCAGGCTGAGTGCTCGGTTGAACATTCCTTGCAACGAGTTCTTTGGCGGGCGCAGGAGGAGGTAGCAGCTGGATTCCACCATCTCCACGTGCCCGTTGCACCTGTGAGGATAGCACCATTGCTTGCATGGCCATCATAACGCTCATGGAGTCGAACGATCCGATGCTGGGAACCATCTCCGGTCCGCGAGCCTGGCAAGGCGATTCGTCTTCCTCAACGGAATCTCTCGCGCCAATGCTATCAAGGCGGACATGGGAAAAGAAGCTCCAACCGGCACCGTGCTTTCCCAAGCTGCCACTTGAAAAGCTGAATCGGTGTAGTGCCGAGGATTCGAGTTCAACTCTTCGATCAAGCCCCAACTTGGGTACTCACGGCCATGACCTGCCTTGAGCTTCTGCAACTTCTGGTGGACATAAACTTTGATGTTTGCAAAGAAGGTTCGTTTGGCATCACTGCATCACTCGCCTTTGGATGCTTTTCTTCCTTCTTTTGATGCATCAGCAAAGCCGCGATCATCGCCTGTTAAACTGTCTAGGAGCACGACGACCCAATCTCCAAAGATGCTCCAAGACTGCGTCCAACACAGTGACAGAGCTACACAGGTCAGGATCACAGCGCTGGAAAATACAAGGGGAAAATTCCCAGCATTGCATCTTCAATCGCTGCTTGCTGTTCTGCTTTGTGGCATCGTCTAAGGCCATTGTCGCGCAACCGTGGAATCGCGCTATGGCAGCCCCTTTCAACAAAAAACTGCCGAAAAACAGTTGCGGACCACCGCACTTCCCAACTGGAGGACCACCTCCACATAGCGAACCGCACAAACAACAAAACATGTCATTCTCAAAAATCGCGCCTAGAATGGTTACAAACACCAGTACCGCTAAAAAACAATGTTTTTAGACATATTTTTTACATTCCCAAAAACGTATCTCAAAAACCTGAGCATATTTTAGAGAATCACTTTCTGAAGCAATTTTTGAACTCAAAAAGCTAACTTCTATAACTTATTTATCATATTTAGAGGTTCTGAGCAAACTAGTTATAAATAAGTTATAAGTATCTAACTTAGGTACATCTAAGTTATCTTGAACATTCTTGGACATAAGACAAAAGTACTTAGACCAATTTACAACGTATGTTGCACCAGGTTTTAACATTTGTTACCCTATGTTATAACTGGGTATACTTGGAACCCTTTCTGCAGGAGCCCTGTCGAGCCGTCGGGTTTCACAAGAACATCACTCTCTTTTAACGGTCGGCCTGAAACCAGCCCCCCAAAGCGGAGAATCCACTGTTTACAGGGAAAGGGACACACCCAAGCAATATGTAACAATAACAAAAACAATATATCAATTAGCACTGTCTATTCCTCGGTTTGTCAACGGACCGGACGATGGGTTTTAGATTGTTAGCAAGTCGTTTTTTGCTAATCTGAGGCGTTTTTGAAGTTTGTATAACCCTATATTTATGCCCACCAAGATGGTCACGCGTCTTAGAATTCCCGTTCGCCCGTTGCCTCGCAACTTGCTTTCTGAGACGCTCCAAGCATGGCCAAAATCGGGTCCACTAAAAAGGGGCCGTTGGCAAAACAGAACTTCGTGCCAGTGCTACCGGCCGTGTGCGGCACAAGGTCCTTGTGGTCCTGGATTTACCAATTGTTCTGTAAGTCAACGTCGATTTCACGTTCAGCATTATCCTTTTTGTGTTCTTTGGTGTGCCAGAATGGAGGCCTCAAACCTCAACCGGTTACCTCGAAGACGGACCTATCCATGGCAAAGTCCCAGCTGAAGTGTCTGACGGGCAGCCAGCAGGTTCAATCATGGTGAGCCGGTACTTGAATTTTTGGATCGTCAACTTTGAACTTCATCGTCATATATTGTCGCCTGTCGCGTTGGACCCCCTGTTGGCCGCTGACATGCATGAAGCTCACTCCTCCCAGGAGACTTCATCATGCATGTGCATTGCCCGGCCGCAGAACCTTTGAGGGCTCAGACACGTGATTTTTCCGCGCATCAAGATTCGCGGAGAAACTTCCCTCACACCGAAAGCGCGGCCTGTTGGGGGGAGTAGGGTGGGAGCTGAGGGCAACGTATCACGAATAAGTGAGGTTGAAAGTTGTTACAAACTAAGGCAAAAAATTGATCGACAGAAAACAAAAACAAGTGATGAAACTAAAGTGACGACCTTTCTTAGCAAGCTTTCGGTCTTTCTTTCTACCGAATGATGCCTTTTCAGAGTCCGGTTATACAAATAGGCTAAAAGGGATGTCTCAAAGTCCGCAAATTTTGGAACCGTGACCTTGGATATCTTTGAGCATGGACCTTCGTGGTCGAGGCGAAAAGAAAAGGAGGGGATTTGCAGGGAACATCAGGGAACAGTTGTGTCTACCGAATGAATTGGATTGGTGCAGCTTGCTGCTTGGTTGGGGGCGCAGTGAATGGGCTGCATTGAAATGACCGGCGTTCAGAATTTCATCGGACGACGGCTGCCCCGCCCGGCATCCCGGCGTCATCGACGCGGCGCCAGGCCGCGTTTCGAAGAAATGGCGGCTGTGGACGAGGCGCCGTCGAGCGGCGAGCCTTGGATGGCAGTCCACTCGCCTCACGGCTCGCCGTTGGTCGCCCTACGTCGGCTCGTCGTGGTTTGGAAGATGGAAACATTTGAACCAACCAGTGGCTATGGGTTGCTAGTTTTTTTTGGGGTGGAATCTAGCGGCATGTTGCGCAAGCATGAGCTAGAGTTTCTAGAAGGTACCGGTATATTCCTATATACATTGGCATTGCATCGTACAAAAGTATACGTAGCAAGGGAGTCATTTCTCATCTCCAAACTGCTTAAACAAGACTTTGGCGATCCCACCCAAGGGCTCCATCCAGCCGCTGGATCCGGGGTTTCTGCGGGTTCCGCGCGTCATGTCTCACTCCACTTGGCACCGCGAGTTAGACCACTTCAGAGGTCCAGGATTGGATGCCCGGCCGGTCACACAGAATCCGCATGGAGGGCGATCATCTGTGTCCAAGCAGAGGGTCACAGTTGAGTCGCGCCATTGAGTTCTTGTTTCACGTGCCGAAACCGTGGAGCAGAAAGTGC